TGTGTGTGTGCATGCAACTTATTAAATTTTCACAGCTTTCTAGCAGATTATGGTGGGTTAATATTAAATGTCTGCACTGCGAAGGTTGCTGTCATGCCAGTGGTTTAAAAACAAACAAAAACCCCCAGCAACAAACACAAACTGGCCCGGTACTTTGAGCACTCTACTTTGAAAATTAACTATGTCTGATTGCAATTGCTAACACCCCAATGGATAGTTAGTGGCAAATTGCAAGAAGTCTTTAGTGTGTTCTGCATTTTTGGAGGGGTTATGTTGGTACAGCTTCCAGCTGAAGAGCCGACATGATGTTTATATGCTAATGTATTTTTAGTCGCAGTCACATTGTATATCTCCTGGTAAACATTGAATAAGTGAAGCTTTTATTAATGATGCAGCAATTCTACATCTGGGATTGGTTAAAGGAGTCCAGATAAATCTGCCCGCTACTCAAATTTGCTTTGACTGCTTCTCCAGAGCATGATAAAGCATTAAATATGTAATATTTATGTTTTTATACCTGCACACATGTGCACACAAACACATATCTTACAAAGAAGACTTCTTCATTAAGTCTTACATAAGATTTCTGCTGGATGTATGTTAGCTTTCTTAAAAAATTCCTTCTCATAGATGAAAACCTCTTATGTCTCTTCCCAAATTTAGAAGGAAGGCTTTTTGCTAGTTTTTTAGGTATTTTTGAGAGATCTGAGCACTTTTTTTTTTTCTTTGATTAGATTTTAAGATTTATTCCTTGCACATGGTGAAGCTTGAAACCTGTATTTCAAAGCCATGGACAGCAAGGACATCATCTTATGATTTTTGGGAATTTTGTTTGTAAGCCCAAAGGATCGATGCTTTTTGAACTTCTTAACTCCTGACATTGTTTGCATGTTGCTGATGACAGCATCTAGGGAGGTTGTGGGCTAGAAAAGCCGAATGAGCTGCTCTGACCCAGCCCTGCACCCTTCTGCAAGGGTGCTGAGGCAAGTGGCTTTTCACGTGATGCTTTTTTCTAACCTAATGTACAGTCCCTTCTTCTACCTTATAAAAGATTATGATGATGTCTTAAACTGGCTTCAGAAAAGAAAAACCAAAAAACGTCAGCTGTCTATGAAATTGCATGCACGTTCCAAACCTATGACTTCCAATTTGCTGATGAGACCGAGGAATCTGGTGGAGATTAGGGTTTTCTTAGCAAGTGCAAGCCCCTCCTACCCATATGTTTTGTGTCCCACTTGTTGAGAGCGGGAATTTTTACGTGGCTATGTGTGCACAAGTGGGGGGCGGAGGAGGGTCTAAAAAAGTATGAACGTCTATCTGTTGCTGCAATGTATTGCATAAGAGGATAAATGGGTTATCTAATCTTGTGTGGGTTTATGCTCCTCCGGAGTGGTAGAGCTAAAACCAGAATCTAAATTCAAGAACCCTTGTCTGTGTTGGACAGTAAATGTGCGGGGGGTTTCTGGAAATAAATTCATCCCTGTCCTGCGATGTGTAAACATCGTGGTGGGGGATGGACAAGCCAGTTGTGTCTGTGAATAGAAAGGCATATGAAAAAATAGATGTGAAATCAGAGATGAAAATCGCTGAATGTTACAACTGAAGCATTCATTTCTGAGGCTGTGGAGGAGCTTTAGCATTGGGATAGGGTAGAATAAAAGTGGTACACAGATGAGAAGAGGAACTGAAGGCAGCAGGTCAAGCGTGCATGAAAGGCACTACAAAACCCAGGAACAAGATGGAGGCGAGGGCAAAGAGCTGGGGTTTCATCCCAGGGTTCTTCGGGAGCCATTTGCCATGTTTCTGAATATGCCATTACTAAGCTGTACCCATTCGGATAAGAATCGTTTCAATTAGCTCGTTAAGTATTGAAACTTCCCATAGTAGAGCTCTGCTTCACCCGTAAACCCAAGCGTTGTCTCTCGTGGCTGTATAACCCCTGAAGCTGGAGTTAAATCTGTTTTCACAAGGCCATCTGTCAGCTTGTTTGAGATGAGCACAACCAAACGCTGCACGCTGAGTAGCCAATGGAGTGTTTTTATTTTTTTGCCTAGACAAGTTGATTTCATAAAGCAAGTTTTTGGAGGGGCTTTGTCGACAATGCTCCTGTCCACCCTGAAGCTTCATTTCTTCTGGAGATCTGCAGTTCCTTGCAGGATACTGCAAGTACGGGATGCTTTTCCTGTGAGCAGGCGGTCGGTGTTGATTCCATGTTTGGTACATGTACAACAGCAGACACTTAAAAGCTGGGAATGAAAGCGGCTTGAGGTAATTATCAGAAAATTAAAGATAATCTCCTGCTCTGGAATTGTGACAAAGTGCAGAAAAGAGATTAGTGCAACTTGTCAGGAACACAGGGCAATACGGGAGCAGCGTCAGTCACTGGCTCCCCGTAGTCAGCAGGGTAAGCGTAGCCCCTCTGGCCTGGAGTCATCTTGGCCGCATTGCGTTCCCAGTGATTTCCAGGGCTAAACCCGGTGAAGAATTTGTCCCTTTGGGTTCCTCTGTGTTCGTGGAGTTGCTGCTCCAGATCATACTCTGAAAGGACTCCATTAGCCAAATGCTCACTCAGTGCCGTGTCTCCTGCTCTTGCTGCCCCAGCCATTGCTGGATTTTTGTTGAATGATCATAAAATTATGTTGTCTTACGCCAGAGAACTAATTTTTCAGCGCAAAACAGAGCGTGTGTGTGTTTGTTAGATATGATGTTTGAGCTAGTGGTGGCCACATAGCAGCAATACAGTGTCCTCTGATCTGGATGGTGGTGCAGTCCCAACGAGCTTGAATTAGTTTCATATCATCGAATAAGCAATGTGCCTGCCTATATAGATGATAGCCCCCTGTGCTGACTAATCTGCAGTCTGAATTGGTGACAGAGGGAAACTATTCTGTGCCCTGGAGGGGTTCCCTCTCATCTCACCTCCCGTTTTCGTGTTCGAAATGGGATTGCGCAATGCAGCTTGTACAGGGGGAACAGGATCTTGGACTGTTGCTGCAGTGCCTGATGCTCAGCTTTGGCACTAAAAGTGAAAGTGGTACGATTTAAAACAAAACGATGGAAGGAGAGGAAAAAGAAAAAAAAAAAAGCCCCGGGTGAGTCTTTCAGTGCTGCTCTGGCTTCCCAAATGCATGCAAAGCTGTCAGGCTGGGTGCGGGCCATACGGCAGATGGCTCGAAATGTTGCATTGATGAGACCTGTTATGCAACTGATGGCTTAGTGGTGGTGTGGTCCCTGCTTTGCCATCGTGGAAGGCCAGATCAGCACGTTTCTGTTCTCAGTGCTCTGTAACTGAGGTCGGGCCACTGAGATCATCTCATCATTTCTTATCGAGAGCAATTTCATCTCCCCTGTGACCACCAAGGAGGCTTTTGCTTGCCAGTCTGAAATCAGTTTCCTGAAATATAACCAAATCACATGTGCTCTCCTAGCAGTGTTGTCATCTGCGGGGCATTGTGCTCCCATTGTGCGTGAGTTCTTATTTGGACTCCTTTTGAAACAAACCCTTAAGCATCACTGCTTGTAGTTTAAGAGGGTGGGTGGTTGCCCCAGTTAAACTTTTGTAATTCCTCCTCTCCAAATGGAGGAGATGCGGAAGGGGCAGCAAGTTGGGCTGGTTCCTCTGGGGGTTTCCTTGCTCTCCACCCTGAAGGAGCCAGACATCTCCTACTCTGTGTGCAGAGAGGCCCCACCACAGCTTGAATGTAGATATTCCTCAATAATTCATGGGTGATTTGTGTACCAGCAGGTGGTTGTGTAACCTGTCCTTTACTCTTAAGTGGGGAAAAGTCCAGGGCTTCAAAGAGGCTCTGTTTTTCACAGCAAAACTCTCAAGTTGCCTGTTCACTGCTTTCCTGTGAAATGAAATCCCTTCTGAAGGATTCAAGGATTATTTAATAGTCTCCATCTCCTATGCTTCCAGGAGTGCTTCATGACAGATAAGGGAATGTAGGACTCATACCTGGAAATAGGCGGCCTTAAATCTAGCATTTGTGTTTGGATTTTCTGAAAGTTGGTTTCTCTTTTCATAAATTGGCTCTGAACACGGAGCTTGTTGAGGAAGGCTTGGGGTGCTGCCTTGGCGGATGACGTTGTACTGCTGGGATGGGGTAGCTCTTTGCTGTCTTAAGGAGCTCTTGATCCTCACTGTTATTCAGATTGGTGACTCTCCGGAGTTAGCTGGGTTGGAGCTCTTGGTACCGTACCTGTGGCTGCTTGCTGTTTCTGTCCAAGCAGTAGGTCAGCTAACGCATCCCAGTGCCAGCAGCAAAGGAGGCTGTTCTCACTGTTGCCTAAAAACAAGGCCCTCATTACAAACTTGGAATAGCACTAGGAAATAAGAAAGATGCCTCATACTAGAGGAGGGATCTGGCCAGCATTTCTAACTCTGATTATGCATCTAAATTTTTTAGCCAAAATCTTAATTTTTCACCTTTCATTGCAGTGGAATAATACTGGGTTCTCCCAAAGGCTGTGGTAGAGATAAATAATGTATTCATTTTTTGTGATATATTTGGACATCAGATTCTATAAATAGGTTTGAGATTCAATTATCAACATGCTTCCTCAAGCACCTTCAGAGTGGCTGGAAAGCAACTTCATAAATGTCTCTCCAGGCTTCTGTGTGTATCCGACTCTTCAGCATAGTGTGGACTTATTACTTAAGGTGCAGCAGGGAATTAAAGAACTCTCTTTGATGAAACCTCTAATAAAAATTACTGCTAGGAAAAATTGTGCATCTTCACGCTTCTGAAGGTGAAATTGTTTGGGTGAACCCCGTAACTTAGGGCTCCTGCACTAGTGAAACTGAAAACTGAGCAAAAGCAACTGCTTTAAAGGCTTTTCTGCTTACTTGAATTAGGCTGTTCTCTGGATGTTTTTTTTTTAATCTCATGTCTCTACTTTTACTGATGTTCTCCCCTTCTTTCCTCAGGTCTGGCACTGAAGAAGGCAGCCATCACTGAGGTGAGATGTGTAAAGCTGGTCTTGGAAATTCCATGCTGAGAGATGAGAATACAGAGCTCTAGGAAGCGCTTCAGTATGACTTTTTAAACAAAGCTGGATTTTAAAATACCCTTACCAATACTGAAACTTTGATATCAGTTACTTGGGAGAATGAAAATTGGTGGCAGGTCTCCGGAGTCCTTGTCTTGGTGTGACCACAGCCAGGAAGGGGATGTGAAGGGATTTTGTCTGCCATACGGCCTCTTTTAGCTGGGTACTCCATGATGTCTGTACATAAATGGTTGGATCTGGCTGAGTGCACCATCTCCAGTTATCTTCAGGTAATGGTGTGGAAGAGGTGTACAGTCTGTAGCAGAAAGTCAGTGGGTATCTCCAGTGCTCAGTGTTGGGTCTCACCTGCTCCTGGGAGTGAGTTGGTGTGGCTGTAATCTGTGAAGCCCTAAAACAGGGGGGTTATCTCTGGGGATTGCTCTTCTCTTGCACGTTATCCAGGTCGCAGGTTGCTGAATCGCTGTTACCTTCTGGAGCAAAACTCTTCACAGTTGGCAGCAGGGAATCTAGTAGAAGGATCTGTGCCTGAAAGCTGTTGCCTGAAGCCCACACTCATGGTTTAGGGCACCATGATCAAATGATTTTTGTTTGATCTAATTTTCTGACTTTTCCCCTTTATATTACTCGCCTGGGATGATGAGCATTTGTATATACAAATAGCAAAATCTTTCCATAAAACTGTGAGGAATGTGACACTTGAACCTTTTTCTCTCCCCAGGAATATGCATACTTAGAACATTCAAAACTTCTGTAAAAGCTAATTGCTTTCTTCAGTGCACGAGTAGCCCAATCTTTTCTTGCCCTGGAAACACAGTTACAGTTAGAGCAGGGGACTGTGGAATGGACTTTTGTTACTGCTTTACATGTGATGGCAATCTCTTTAACCGATGCCTGTGTCCGTTAATCACTTTACGAGAGGTTGCTGAGCTATGTGGAGAGGCAGGACTATACAGCTGGAGTTTGCCTGTAATAGGATACAGCCTATTAGAAGGTGCAAGGGAAGGATAAACTATACTGCTAGTCACAACGACTACTTCAAGAAAGAGTGCTTGGAAGCAAGTTCGGTTATGCTAAACAAATGTTTAAAACGGAGCAAGAAGTCTGATTTTTGAAGGAGAAATCAGACAGCCTCTTAGTTCCAGAAGTTCAAGCAGCTTGACCAGAAATAGCTGCAAGCTCTTGATTAAAAACTAAAGCACAAAGAACTTCTGTAGCCTGAACAAAATTATACATTGTCTGCTGTAGACATCAGTCCTGAGAGATCACTCTGCATGGCACTTGAGAGAGCCGGTGATATAATATCATCACTTGGGAAATGACCTTGGATCTCTCTGCACGCTCCTTAAGGGAACATCCAAAGCCTGGCTGATCTTTAATGTAAGAAAACGCCGCGTATAGTTGGTTCATCAGCATGTTCAGCAAACTGCTGTGTTTAACAATCTCCTGGGACAGCGGAGAGCTGGGGAGCAGATGAAACTGCCCCATGGCAGAGTTCTGCCCTACGCTTGGGGTCGCAGAAGGAGCTATACCAAACTTTGCCGTACATGACTGACTTGATTTGTAAAAGGGTACATTCACAATCTTCCTGCTCCTGGATCAGCAGCAAAGGCCTGGACAGACTTAAAAGTAGAAGGGGAAGAAATGGGTTAAGGAGTAGATTTGTTCCCTCTCTGAAGTGCTGGCAGTCCTATAACGTTTCTGCAAATTTTTTGCAAAACTTCAGGAAGAGCTGTTACTGCAGTTCACCCTGTGCGGGCTTATTCTTTGAATTGTTATTGAATGAGATCTTACTTAAATGGATTATCTCCACATGAACACAGGAGTGGGGTTGTGTTATCTGTGTTATCTGTCTCTTATTTCTCCAGTGAAGTGTGAGGTAGTGCTGTGAAACCTGAGGGCATGGAATTTTCAAAAATAAACTCTTCTGTTTGATTTAATGCATCACTATTTGTAATTGATGAGAAACCAAAGTTAAGCAATCTGAGCGTCTGGCAGCTGGGAAGCAAACCGATCTTTCCTGAGCTCAGTATCTTTGCTGAGGGCTCTTCCCTTTCAGTACTGAGAGTGTCGGATGGAGTGGTTGAGTATTCTCCAGCTTGCTGTCTTGAAGGATGTATGTATAACTCAAACAACCTTGTTGAAAGTTTGCTGGTGCCAATTAGACCTGTTTGCGCTCTGCCGCTTTTTACACAGCGATAGAAAGGGGTCACTGTATCCTTTATGACAGTGGTAGCATGGTCCTGCCTATACCACACTGCTTGTTCTTGTCAACCAGGTCATCTTTTCTTCTGAGTTTTAACTGTGCTTTTTCATTGCAGGGGCCATCACTTCCAGGACAGCCTGGCCAAGGAAAGAAGATAGGTCATCGAGGAGTTGATGCTTCTGGTGAAACTACCTACAAAAAGGTTTGGTTTTGTGGTGTGGGGAACCAGTGGCTGTGTAGGTGACATATGGCTGAGAAGAGAAGCTGGGGCCAGGGGTTAGCTATAGCACAACTGAGCTTTCCTGGTTTGGTATGTTAATAGCTACCAATCTGATTTGGATTTTATGCAGTATCCTTGTACTGCATAATCTTGCTGTTTGCAAATTTTCTGAAAGCCTGAAACCATCTATTCAGCAGCTGGTTGAACTTGTTTAGCAGTATGTAGTGCCTGGGAAGACCCTGTAATGGCTCTATTGTAATGTAGGGAATATTGCAGTAGTCTGCTGTGAAATGCTCATTGACCGCTCTTTTATTTCTGCCAGACCACTTCGTCCACTCTGAAGGGGGCCATCCAGCTGGGAATTGGATACACTGTCGGCAATCTGAGCTCCAAGCCTGAGAGAGATGTCCTGATGCAGGACTTTTATGTGGTGGAGAGCATCTTTTTCCCGAGGTAAAGGGAACTGGGAAACAAAATGAAGGGATGAGTTATTTCTTTTTCCTTTCACTCATTTTTCAAGGGAGCTTCCATCTGTCTTTGGATCACAGCAATGGATGCTCTGAGTGTTTTAAATATGCATCTATTTCATACAAACATAGCAGTGGGAAATGTTAGATTCTGCAGTACGCTGGCTTGCAAGGAAGTACAACGTGAGGTGCAGTACTATAGTCTTGGGTTTGTTAGCCTCGTTAGGTGTTTTTCTTCCTGCCTGTCTGCCTAGAATTCACCTTGTTTGAGATGGAGGAAACTCATTCTGGAAGCTCTTTGACCATGTGGGTAAACAAAGCTCATAAAAGCTATATTCTGTGGGTAAACATACTCAGCTTGGCAAGTGGCTATTCCTTATACCCTTTGTAAATGGATTTTGGCAGATAAATTAAAGCTTTATTTCCCTGTTGTCCTGCCACAGAAAAAAAAGATGTTTTGTTCCCAAGATGTCTTTTTGCAAGGCTCAATTTGTCTTCAATATACAGCAGCCTTGATGTGAATGTACATATCTGGTAAACGTTAATACAGAGGCCATCCTCATCTAGTGTCTGTTCTGTGCAGCGAAGGAAGTAACCTCACACCGGCTCACCATTATGCAGACTTCAGGTTCAAAACCTACGCACCAGTGGCTTTCCGGTACTTCCGAGAACTCTTTGGGATTCGTCCAGATGATTATTTGGTATGGATATATTACTGGATTTCTCGGTCTTTCCTGCTTTGAGTTGTTCTGGAGTAACAGTAAATCTGCCCCTAAATCGAGGCTGTCAGCTAATCTTGCCGAAAAAGGGACAGAGAAGAGTCAAGGAATCACTCTGATCCCAGCAAGGAGTGGGAACTGGCTGTGGATTTAGAGTTTCTGCTCCAGTTTGGAGGAGTTCCAGTGACAGTCCCAGCAGGGACTGTCACGACTGAGCCAAAGTCTTCATTTCCGAAGAGGCAACTGCTAGCTTACAGCAGATCGTTTCCTTTCCCTCCGGTGTAAGGGTGTGCACAATGTAAGTTATGTTACAGGGTTCCCTCTCTGTTGCTTGTGATGACAATAACTTACTCTGTTTACAAGCAAAAGGAGCTTTGTTCTGCTGGGTGCAACCCTGTAATATCCCTTGGGGCTCTGAGGACAAAGATGGGAATTTTTCCTTGTGTACTTACTCGAGAACTATGTGAATGTAGTTTAGTTAATCATCTTATGAAGGCAGAATAAAATCCAGCCTGTTCTTGTGCTCAGAAAGCTCTTCAGAGCTAGAAAGGCTGTTTTTTTAAACATACCCAGTAGTACAGGCTGATGAGACTTGGAATACTCCGGGGTTGAATTTGGTCCCTTGAATGTATGTAATGCCCTGCTCTTTAGAAGAGGACGTTTGTTGAACTGAGGAAGGGAGCACAACAAGTAAGTGTGCGCACACGTGCACACACACCTCTTCCCCTTTTCAGTAGCCCTTTTTTCTGACTCCAACTGTAGACAGAGTTAATTGTGGCTGAAAACATGCAAGTACAAATGAGTCTGTGCCATCGCATGGCTTGACCGTAACAGTGCTCCCCATCTATGCCATCCAAGGTAATGTTGGCTGATTTGATGAGTGATTCAAAACTTGGGTGAGGCAAAGAGCCTGCCTCGATTCCAAAGGTCACAGCTCTGATTTGTTGCTGCTTCCCCTGATTCTCTCTTGCCTGCCACAGCAGCAAATGCTTTTAATTATGCATGAGATAATTAACTTGATAAAGTCTTGGATTGTTAATTTCTGCAGCGCTGAAAGCTGTTTTCAGTACGTAATGATGAGCTTTTAATTTATTGCTCTGATTACATCCACTACATAGCCAACCACCTTCTCCCCGTCTTGCCTCTTTGGTGGCAACTCCAACGTAAAGCTGCCTTGAACCCACTTGACATTTGCAAATGCTTTGGGGTTGGTACCTAGCTGCAAAGTGCTTTGCACTCTTGTGCATTCTTGCACTTTCTTTCTCTTTGCCACTAAGTGTGTTCTCAGTGGAGGATCTGCTGTTTGCATACTGATGTCTAGAAATGTCCTTCCAATTCAATTCCAAATACAATACCCCTTGCTTTTCTTAGATAGTGCTGATTCCCCTCTTCTTGTCTGGAGACCTGGTCTGATACTTTTCATGTGTGCCTAGCAGTATCGAGGTGAGATGTGGCTATAAAACACGTATCTAACAGAGGAGCACAAGGCCAGAGGAGGTCGCTGAGAACAGCGAGTGCATTTTGTTCCCTCCAGCACAGTGATGTATGGTACCCTGAGCACTGTCATATCTCTTAAAATCCAAGCTTTCTGTTTGTGCTTGCGGTAACGTGCTGAAAGAAGCCTGACTGTGATACACATGTGCATACACAATGGGAAAAGATAAGATGTCATTATGCAGCTTGGATGTTACTGAAAGCAGAAGATTAGCTTGATTCTGAGCAGTTGGGATGCTCTGAACTGTAATCTTGCTGTCTAATTGTAAATTGTCCATCAACTTTCCTGCTTAGACCTAACCTATAATGAAAATAATTCTCATTTAAGCTTCACTACCTCTTAATCTTGCAGGGCGACTGCATGCTTAGGAAGGCCCTGAAGGATGTAGAACTCGGTACACAATGAGCTGGGGCTAAAAACATAATCTTTTTTTCTTTTCCTCCCTAGTATTCATTATGTAACGAGCCTCTGATAGAGCTGTCCAACCCTGGTGCCAGCGGCTCCCTCTTCTATGTCACCAGCGACGATGAGTTCATCATAAAAACTGTGATGCACAAGGAGGCTGAATTCTTACAGAAGCTCCTTCCTGGCTACTACATGGTGTGTATCACCCTGTACCTTGGACCTGGCTTGGATTTGTAGTGACAATGTTTCTGTACAAAGTATTGCATAGGGCGTGTCATCTGTCTGGGCTTTTTGTGGCCTGCCCGCCCTATACTATTGACAACGTTAACAGTGTGTCATGAAGCCTGTCCCAGAGCACCAACCCTGCCAATTATTTGCAAACTCCTTAGATAAATTTAAGGCAGATAATTATGTCATAGCTCGTGGGCATGTTCTGGCCTGAAAAGGCTTTCCAGGTGCCTGTTTCATGGGGGTCTTTTTCTGAACACTCTTTCTTTCTTATTCACTTGGCACCATGCATCTATCTCAACATAGCTTTGAGGATAGTTATGTGACTGCAATAATACAGATATATCAATACCTTGTTTTTTGGGGGTAGCCACTCCGGTGTCCTAGGACACCTCCCACATGTGCTAACTCAGAAATGAGTTACTCCAAAGGCAACTGTTTATTGTTGTGGCTCCCACTGTCTGCGGTACTAAGCTAAAAACTCTTGCTGCACCAGCCGCCTTCTTGTGTCCAGTCCACTGCAGACGATCATAGTCTAAATCTCTGAGCTAGCAAGGCAATATATTGAGGTGAGGCCCAGGGGACTTGCGTGAGAAGACAAATAATAAATCAGAACCACAATCCCAGCACCTAGAAAGGTGTATAAAGCAGGAGCTGTCTCTCTGCATAACTATGCCAAAGGATCCAGCTCTATAGATGAGGGCATTGGAGTTTAGTGAGGGCCACCCAGAGAATTTTTTGCCCTAGAGATGCAGAAGTAAAGGCTGTATTTATGGCAGGTGATGTTAATGCTGCCCATGAGTGTGTATGTTGCAGTGGATTTATGTGTTTGCACACTGTTTTTTCTGAAGATACCTGTCTTTCTCAATGTGCACTGGGTAAAATTTTCCAAAGTGAGCCAGGGACTTGGGTGGTCACACAAAACTGACAGCCAGTTGCTTGCTTTTGAAAGTGACACTTTAGCTCCTGGATAGTGTGAAGTCTTTTGGAAAGCGTTACCTGCTGCCTAATATATGTAGTAAATGAGATGGAGGGATTTTGAATGGGAATGGAAAGAAGCATTGTTGTCCCGTATTCTGCAGTTGTCTTGGCCAGCTATCAATTTAAAGAATTGAAGCAACTTACCTACACAGGTGTGTGATACTTCTTTTAGCATTCAGATGTTTGTGGGTTATTGGGGTGCTACACGTGATCTCTCTGCTGCTTTTGGGAAACTCACCAGTGTAAAATGAGCTAGTGAAAAGGAAGCAGAATGGTTTCATCCTGAGTTACATTTAAGCTGGGAAAGTGGTGTTTGCTTTTGGTCTTGGGTGCTGCTGTGTTGCTTTTAGTTTGTACTGTGTTGACCCGCCCACTTGCA